AAAGTAATCTTTAGATAAACTTCACAGTGTTGGTGTTTGCACGGTCCTCTGGTGTGTGTGTTGTTTTTTGGGATTTTTTTTGTGTGGTGGTGGTTATTTATGATCTTGCTGGTTGGTTTGTTTTTAAAAACCTGGGGAAGATTTAAATCTTTTCATCAAGTACCCAGCACACCTTGACACTTTCATTTTATCCTCCTACATTCTAAAAACCTGCAGTAGCTACGAACCAAAGAGCAGATGTTCACACGCTGATGCTGAGGAAGGCATTGAGAGCCTGCGAGGTGGTGACTGAGGAGCGTTGTCAAGTCAACCCAAGGGCTCTCAGTCTAGGTTGTGTAATTCCAAATGAACTAGCGTGACAAATCAATTAGTTTTTCCTTTCTCAGAAATTCAACTTGAACGCCTTCCCTATTGATTAGGAACGACCTAACTCAAAAGTGACATAGCTGCAATTTTTGCCTTCTGCAGGCTTGCAGATATTAAATTGATCTTTGACCGTTCTCTACTAGTGGGGCTTAACGGGGACATGAAACATTTTCAAACCTCTGATTAGGGCCCTTTGTAAGTTGTTCGAGATTGATTCACCTCACGGGCTTTACAAAGGCACATTCGCATGGCTTTGCTGGAGTGCTTAGCAACTGGACGTCAGGGTTCACGTTCTGCCCTACAATTAGAGAGCGTGCTACACCACTGACTTGTGGGGGTTTTTTAACTATATTTTTTTGTTCTTGTTGCTCTTTTCTTTCCAGGTTGGTCAAAACCTAAGGTAATGACATGTACTGAGGTTTGACAAATGCAGAGGCACAGGGCTGTGATCATAAAGCACCTCTGGGGCAAAAAGACTGAGCTGGGTCAGGCCATTCATTGGGTTGAAATTTATATGGAAAATTAGTGGTAATTTTAAGTATTCAGGGAGACACTGTTTTTTGTTTTCTTGTTTCGTTTTTTTTTCTTAGCTAAGGTTATGCGCTCCGTCCCCATGTGTTGCCTGGTCTAGTCGAGAGGTGGCGTCCCTGCCCAAAACAGGGAGGTTGGACTAGGTGATCTCTAAGGTCCCTTCCAGCCTAGGCCAGTCTAGGATTCTATGAAATGTGTGACAGCAAACTTAACTTTAAATATGTATCATTGTCTACCCTATTAGGGCCATTTGGGGACTCTACTTTTATATAAATAGCTTTAGATTTTTTAATGGGCATCCTGGTAAATAAGCTCTTTTAGTGAGAGTCAGTGTTGCTTAACTTTTTTTTCTCAGAGGTCACCACTTGCTTTTGCTTTTAATTTCTGTATAGATGTACTGTAGTATAGTTGTAAGCAAATCATGGAAACTTAGGATAAAGGTGTTTCTCTGTTATTAAAGTTGGATCTTTTGTAATCCAATTCTTTGCTGCCTAATGGAAATGAATCTGAGGGGATGTGATGAAGTCATGGCTGGGGGGATTTCCCCTTGTGATTACATTGCAGAGTCTAATCATTATTTCTTGAGGCAAAAATTGCAACAAATGCACTGTGTTTTTCTCCTTTTTGAGCTATAAAGCTGGAGGTTAAATGACCAAGAAGCACTTAAATAGAAAAACTCTCCAGTGAAGAAACCAACTCTTCAAAGTGCTTTCTCTGAATGAGAGCCCACTTGTGCATTCCCAGCAAACATGTGCAGATGTGAGTCTGTTGGACCAGGGAGTGTTTCTGTTGAGCCCCTAGAAGCTGGATGTGCTTATACACTGTTATTTCTCATCCTCTGTGTGTGAGCTGACAAGGCAGAATGCGGCTGCTGCTGTCTAATTTTCACCCTGGCATCTTGTGGGGATGGAGTCCTCTCTATTCTGCATTACAACATGGATTTTCTTGTTTATTTTTCATGTCAGTGACTTTTATTTTTCCCAGTTGTGCAGTGTGTGAGAGCAGGATTCCAGCCTCTGGACTGTATATCTTGCCGTAGGGAGGGGTTTGTGGAGCTGCTTCTCCTGGGAGCCTTTTCTGCTCTGTAGGAGGCTGAAGGCTGTGGTCACTGATGACCTAGGAGTCCTGAAGCAGAAAAGTTGAAATCATTGTGGTTGGACCTTACAGCATGGGCTGGAGGCTTCTGGCAGACTTTAGGTAGAGACTTGTCCTGTGGAGTCCATCTTTGTCTCATCCATCCTATTTCTTTTTTTTCATAGCAGAAGCAAGTCCTCTTGAGCCCAGACCTTATCGTTGAAGCTCATCAGTGAGAGTAATTTTCAGCTCGCCATCGAGTTTTTAATGCCCGTATCAATTTCCCCACTGCAAGCCAAATCACAGCACCATAAGCATGTATTGATTTCTTCATCCTCGGCAATCCTTTGCCTCTGAGCTGTCAGGTTTTTTTTCTGGTGCCTGAAGCGCATACTTTAGCACCAGTGATACTGCCTTGTCCATCCCACGCTTGTAACCAGCCTCAGGCTTTGCTGTGGAGGGGTTTTGAGGCTGGCACCTGTGTGGGAGCCACGCGGTGCGACTGGGCGCTCAGTACCTTCTGCGGCACCAACACCTCGGGCACACGGGGTCTGTCATCTCCTAAATACTGATGGGAACCATCAGGAATGGTTGAGGGTGGAAGCACACGTTCTGTCTCCGGATGTCTCTTCAGCAAAAGATACTTAATTCTGGTGAATCAAAGCCAGGGTCACCGTTTTCTGGTGATGCAGATCTTCGTCGTCCTTTGAGCTGATGGTATTCGCTGCAGCCTCTCGGTGCTCGCATGCTCCTTTGGTACCTCCTACCTGTCCTGGCTGCTGCTGGTTGCCAGTGACATCAGCTGCAAAAGGACAGGGACTACATGTGCATCGATAAGGGAGGGCTTGGCTGCAGAAGGAGCTTCTGCTGTTGTGTAGCAAAGCTACTCTACAACAAGAGGTTTCCTAGCGTTGAAAGCATCGCTTTGAGCTATCGATCTCTTGGCTTCTCAGCAAAGTGTCAGGTATAACCCTGAGTAAATGCTTTCATGTTGCACTATGGGGTCATCCCCTCTTAATTGAGATTAATCTCCAGTTTTCATTTTGTAGTCTTGTGCCTCCTGCCGTGGTCTGCATGTTATTCACGCTCTTAATGTCGAGCTGGTGAGGCTTACAGATCCTGAACTATTAAAAATCCTTTTAAATAAAGATGTAATCGAGTGCTCGTGAGCATTTCTGAATGTTCCAGGGACTTCAGCTTTTGTGTGAAAGTAATCTCTAAGCAATGATGGAGTCGTTAAGGACTGCCATGAAGCTCCCCCTTGTGAATTACCCATATGGCTATCAAATCCAAGCAATTTGGGGAATACTACTAAAAAAAAAAGTCAATGTTTTTTTATCTTTGGTGTAGCTGTCAAGAGCTTCATCTGTGTTTTCCCAAGTATTGTGTGATTAGAGATCTCATGGGCCAACAGCAAGTGTAGCATTTGATAAAGTGAATTCTTCAGTCCTGTTTTCGGAGATCATTGCCCAGGTGGATTTTATAGCACAAGAGCAACTTTTCGGAGTGGCCCATATTGTGAACTATGTCCATGTGCCAAGAAAAAAAAACAACCACATTTCTGAACAGTAACTGTTATTTTAGAAGATACTTAGTTCACGTGCATGTAAACGCAGAGCTGTGCTGCCTTCTCTTTGTCTTACACGTGTGAACTCCCACCTGCCAGCTTGGTAATCCAGCCCCTTTAATGTGGAGACATTGTACTTCTGTTGGGCAAAGCAGAGCTCACACCTTCTTCCATATGCGTGTGAGATAGTTGGGCACATCAAGGAGGAAAGGGGCTGGAGAACTGGCGTCTTGTAGGGTAAAAGAGCTGGAAAAGTCGCGTGGTTTTCTTCTCTTCCTATCCTACAGTGTTATTTAGGGGAGGTGGAAAAATACCGGAACGCTCTTGATTCTTCCACGTGCCTTCCTGCTTTCCTTTCCTTCACCCCCAAAATATGTTTTAGTACTACTCTGATGTGTAATTTAATCATCATCATTTCTTCCTGAGTAAGTCAGACTCTGGTGAACAAAAATAACCAGCTCCCCTCCTTTTGGGCATGGATTTATTTAGGAACTGGGAACAGAGGTGGCTAAGGGGTTTTCACTTTGCTTTTGCTTACTTCTGCAGGTTTCTAGTCTCACGCTGTGACTGGTTGCAGCTGATGCCTCCGTGCAAAGGGCAGGTATCTCTGGCTGTGCCGTCTCTCCTAGAGGAACAAAGAGCACGGTCCAGGGTTAGGAGTGAACCTTAGGTCCCTGAGCTTCCTCTGTGCAGGACAATTTGCAGGTTATATGTTAATTGGATTCATTAAATCAGTGCGCCAGTCCTACCTGCTGGTAGGTTTAGAAATATCAATTTTTGCCTTGTTTCCCTTACGTTCTTCACTTGAGCCAGAATGTTGGGCTCCATTATTTAGCTCCATGTCCACCTCATCTCCTCTCTCTCTCTATGCAAGTCCTGTACTTGCCTTGTACAGGCAACTGCATCTGAAAGCATTTCAGTGGTGTTTTCTAAGCTATAAAATACCACATCACGCAGCTGAGTGTCCATTTGAGTGGTATCGTGTGTCTCCGTGGATGGTGTTCGTATGGTCAGGCTGAGCTGCGTGGGTAACCAGCCCAGGGAAGGTAAAGGAAGGTTAAAAAACCTTGCCCCAACGCTCAACCAGTCGAGCACGCCTGAAGCTGAGCTGGTACAGGGTGCTGCGTGATGGCACCGGGTGAGTTGATGGATATTTTTAAGCAGAGACAATTAACATTGGTGAGACCTCTCAAGTACTTGACTCTGCTGGGGCTGGCGGCAGCATGAGTGGGAGGGTGGAGTTTGTTCAAGCGTTCTTCACCTAATGGCTTCACTTCCACTTGCTTGTAACTTTTTCAGGTTTTTCTGTTTTGGGTTGAAAAGCAAGTGACTGGAAATCTGGAAGTTGTGATCTTTTTCCTGATTTTTTTACCCTTCCGTAAGAACTGAAGCAGGTTGGCTCTTCAGGCAGCGCCATGAAGCTATTTAAAGCTGTGTATGTAACCTTATGTTTTGTGTGCAGACTGCAGGGAAATCTTGCTGCCAACGATGACAGATCAGCTGAAGTATCACTTGGAAAGACAAGAAGACTTGGAGGCTTGTTGCCAGTTGCTGAGTAACATCCTGGAAGTCCTTTACAAGAAAGATGTGGTTAGTATTGTACACTTCTGTGATGATTAGCACTTAAAAGAAATGCGTTTCAGTGGAATGAATTAAGCAGGTAACTCCTGATGGCATGGATTTAATTTTCTTCCTTTTTTTTTTTTTTTCCCCTGAGCCACTTCCTTTAGATTTTTTTAGGTAGCTGGTGATGAGGATGCGTTGTGTGACATTTCTGAGTGGTTTTTTACTGTTTCTGAAGCACATCCAATACAGCACTGCTATCTAATAACACTTTCCCAGACACTGGTTAGTGAGTAAATAGACATTCTTAGGAGTTCAGCCTTTCTCTTGCATGGTGTCGAGCCTCTGCCGGGTGGAAAATGTTTTGTGTTTGTTCTTTTCCATGAGCATTTTGGGAAAAGCACATTTGTATTGATGATGTATATATGAATGTATGCTTTTTGTTCATGCAGCAAACTCATTTAGCTTTTCGAAGCGCCACTAAAATTTAGCTAGCAGAATTCTTCACCTCGGTGTGAGAGAACCTGAGTTGAAAAATGAAGGCTTCTGCATGACTGTTATAACTAGCGTTGCTGTCTTAGCCGTTCAGAATGCAAACGTATGAGAAGGTTGCGCGTGAGAACCTGTGCAGTGCCCTGGGCGGGCATGCAGATGTGTAGCTTGCATAATAGTCCCTTTTTTGCCTTCTTTTGATTTCACACGAATATGCAAATACTGATGCTTTACTGGAGACCTACAGTGGTTTGACGCTTCCTTAAAGAAGTTTGATGAGGCTGCTGCCTGAACCTTCAGTCCTGTGCAGAATCCTGCACTAATTTAGTTGGAAAGAACCTCAGGGGCCAGCTACTCGCATCATACCCAGCATCTGATTTGACTACGGTTTTGGGGGTTGTTCCGATTTTGCTTTTTAAAGTAGTTCTGTGCGATTGCTTCAGAGAGTGGGTTATTTAAAAAATAGAAAAAGGAGGGGTGCGGGGGAAGGAATTTTGGTTTTGACAGCTTCCTGTCACTGTTGGCTGCGTTTCTCTCTGTGGCAGCAACTCACTCACGACTCCGCGATCGTCTCCTGGGCCGAGCCTGGCTGGAGCAGGGCTGCAGGGGTGACAGGATGGAAGAGGGGACAGGGGAAGGAAGGAAACTCTGCCAGCCAGGAGAATTGAAAAAGTAGCAAAGTAGAATTGAAAACAGGCCGGAGCAGCACAAGTGCCAGGAGTGGAAAGAGGAGAAAAGTCTTGGAGAGACCTCGCAGGAGGGAGAGGTGAAGGGCAGAGAGGAGCTGGGTACCGAGGCAGACACATTCTTCCCTGCAGATGCTCTTGGGACCAGGCTGTAAGGTTTATCCCGAAGACAGATCTGTCAGCAGCAGAGAGAAAAGTCTGTACTGGGGCGGTGACTGTGTGTGTGTGGACTGATGATGGCTCGTTCTTCAAATGTGCAAATGCATTTGTCATATAGGCAAGTCTACCTTTGGCAATAATGATCCAGTGAGAAGATGTAGGTTGTTGTATGGATCCAGGGGGAAGTGAGAAAATGGTTTGCTGGAAGGTTTGGTCAAGAAACAGCATGAAGGGGCTGCTTTATGTAGATGATTAGCTGGGAAAACACTTGCAGTGGTTGGCTATGGAGTTGTTTCCCCTTTGCACCACACAGGCCCCTTCTGAAGTCGTCTTCAGAGTAAAGAAAACAGTGAAGAAGCCTATTTATAAAGTAAAAGATGGGAGCAAAGCTCATAATTTACCTTCAGTTCCCGTAGCCATCATTCTTCATTAGCTTTCTGAACTTGTTCTTAAGAGCTTATTGAACTAAATATTTAATTTTCAACTCTTTCCAAAACACTGACAGATTATTTCTAATACAGAAATATTAATTTGAAGCAATTGACTGAAATTGCAGTGCCTTAACCAAAGTTTTCCTTTCTTTCTCTGCTTCTGCTACAGGGTAGCCCCCCCCCCGATTGGATAATGCCTGTGGGCTTTTGATGTTGGAAAAATGACTTAGGAAAATAAAATTATTTGATAACTAAATGTCATAGGCTTTGCTATATTTCCAGGGACTTGCTTTTCATTTAAATAATTGCAACACTACATGTTAATTTCTCAGAAAAATGTATTAATAAAATAGACTTCTCATGGAGTTTGCTAAACGGGAGACTAATTTTCCGCATTTTGATCAACAGCAGCGAGCGAGTTTTTATTTAACTTCCACAAGACAGGAGCATTTAAAGACAAGCGTAAGCAGTTCAATTGTGTTGGTGTCTGTTGTACCTAGTTACCACTAATTTATTCTTTTTCCTTAGGGGCCAACACAAAGACACGTCCAGATAATCATGGAGAAGCTATTGAGGACAGTAAACAGAACAGTCATTTCCATGGGACGTGATTCGGAGCTCATTGTAAGTGTCTCTTGATGTAAACTTAAATACCTCTGTCACATCTTTTTGAACCTGACTGTAATAGGATTTAAGTCCCAGGTGACCCAAAGCAATCAAAACCTTCTGGAACTGTCTCTGTGTTCAGTAAGCTGTAAAACATTGGCTTGTAATTTTCCTGCCGTTTACACGGGGGGAGCAAAAAATATTTAAAGAATATAGGTGGCTGGGTGATTAGCCAGATTTTAGATGTCTGTGTTAACCAAAATGATGCGTTATTTGTAATTAGCCAGCTGAAAAGCGTGGAAATGAAGGACTCGTGTGTTTGTTACTACATCAGCGATCGTTTGACTCTGCAAGCATTTACTTGCCTCCTTTGGCTACAGGTGAGATAACCAAGATAACAGCAGTGTTTGAATGATGGAAGAATAGAAATGAGCCTCAAGTTATCAAGTTTTCAAAACCTAGAGGAAGCACCGATGCAGTAGCTGCAAGTTACTGTGTTCCACTTCGGTGGCGTAGTGCTGTGATTTTAATATTAGCCTAAATAGTCAAAAAAAAAAAAAAAAAAAGAGAGGCCTATTAACATCTGAACCAGGCATAGATCGTGATGCTTTTCTGGCTGGCTCACTGTTTGCCTTGACATTACATTCTTTCTTAGGTGTTTCTGCCAACTAATATATAGGAAGCTGGTCAAAGTGGACCAGATTTCTCATCTGAGTAGCTGCCCTATTCTACATTGGTTTGGTTCAGTAGACTGATTTCTGTCTTAAAGGTTGGATTTGTTAGTCACACATATCCGAGTCCCATCAGCACGTCTTACTTACCTACTGCTGTCCTATTTTCTTTGCCTGTGGTGGTGCTTCTGTCAGTAAACAGAATACAATTTTGCTTTGGTTTTAGTGAGTCATCCTCTGTTTTGGTTTTTTTTTTTTTTAGTGTCTTCCACTTTTATAATTTAGATTTGCAATAATACTTTTCATCGTAAGAAAGTGATAATGGTTCACCAGATCTGTTGTTAGAGCGAGAAAGGGTTAGAAGTAGAGATTGTTCCTACTGCATCCCAGCTCTATAATTTTCTGTATCAGTGAAAGGAAGACAAAAGGTTTATATGTTGTTACTTTGTGCTTTACAACTGAAATAGTTAATAATGTGCAGCACAGATACCTTAATGTCTTCCTGTACAAGGGGGCAGAACTTTACTTCTCGTAGTTGCACAGGTGTCGTCTTGTGCAACGTTCAGGAAACTGCTGCAGTTACGGTGAGGATGTGGAATAATTATTGTTTTGATCAAGGTGGTTTAGCTGGTATTTTAAAATGTTAATTATTCCTTTTGCATTTATCAAATTATATTTGAAAACTTCTCCTGTATATATTTTAACGAAGTGCAGTTGCGTTAAAAATACCCAGAGCGATGATGAAGGCAGCTCGAAATCCCTCGCTCTGCACACTCTGTAATTATGTAATGGATATTAATAGGAGTGGGTATTCTCAAGGAGTACTTACTCCTGTCTTAAAACTTAGTCGTTGCAGAAAGGATACCCCTGTAATCAACCAGTAACAATTAATTTCTGTGGTGTCAGCAAAGTAGGAAGAATAAAATGCGAGCAATAATTAGCAAGTGTAACCTGACTCCTCTAGGATCAGAATTGGGTTGAAATTACATATTAACTTTTCTTTTGGTGATACTAGTCTGGTTTTGCCTTGAGCTTCTGCTAGAAAATTAGCCATAAAAGATGAGTAGAAGGAAGGAATTTTAAAAAGAAACGATTTTATAGAGGCATAGTTCAAGGGACAATGACTTTTTCAAGTGAAGTCAACTACAGAACATAGCAATTTCTTCTAGAAAAGATGGCTACACTGGTGTACTACAGCTGGCATGGTTTCATCTTGAAATACTTGGCTGTGGCATCTCTATCCAGATCCTAATGGTGCATAATACACTAGAAATATAAAAAATAATACCTGGAATCAAAAACACTGAGGAATGAGCTCTTACTCCTGTAGATGTGAACTCTATTTCCGTGAAGCCTTTAGCCTCACTCTGGGATCGTTCCTCTGAGGATCCTGCTTTGAAGAATCGCTCAGACAAATGGAAGATGCGTCCTTATCGCTGGGAGTCAGGACTTCTCTCCTGTTAGGCACCAGTACAGAACCAGAGATTCCTCATCCTCTTGCAGTGTCAGTCACGGCTGTTTTTAATTTCACACGTTCTAATCGCTGTGGAGCTACCGCGGTATTTGCGATGCAGGAACTTTGGGATCTGTTGTGGTAAACGTCAAAGACAAGCATTTTCTAGAATTTGTCTCCATTTATATTTTTAAAAATACACTCTACATACCATTTTGAGTTTGAGGCATGTGTGATTTAGACTTCCCTTTGGAAAAACCTCGACAAAAAGATGAATGAATTCTAACACCGACCTGACCGAAAACCTGACCTTCAGGGTAAGGCAAGGGACCAGCACAGTCATCTTCGCGGTAGAATTTACAAGCATTCCGCCTTAATCCAGGAAATCAAAAAGGATTTTGCTAACTCTGACTGCCATGTCTCAATCTAATATGGGAGGTATCGGGCACAACCTTCCCACTGACCGAAAACCTGACCTTCAGGGTAAGGCAAGGGACCAGCACAGTCATCTTCGCGGTAGAATTTACAAACATTCCGCCTTAATCCAGGAGATCAGAAAGGATTTTGCTAACTCTGTTGCCTGCCATGTCTCAATCTAAATATGGGAGGTATCGGGCACGACCTTCCCATGGATTTTCAGTCTTTAGAATTCTTCAAGGCTGTATCTCGCATCTGTGGCAAAATTTCTGCCTAGTAAACCTTAAATCGCCAGGTAACTGTGTTGAACGGTGAGTTTCTACATAAAAATCACAAGCTGTTTTTACTGAATACCTTCAGAAGAGAATTAGTGGGTTGGTCTAGATGATCCTTGAGGTCCTTTCCAACCTGGAAAGCTATGAACTATCTTGGAATAGGATAGATTTGACCATAATTTTTGAAGAAGTTGATAGCAAAATGAATTTAAGGTAACTGTTGTGTTCCTCCAGAACTTGTGCAAGGAAAGCCAAACCCTCTGTTTCACCAGGGTCTGTATTAACTAAGATTAAGCACAATCTGGCCGTGTACACAGGCTGTTTTAGTGGAAGCAGTGAATTTATATACTTGGAAATTAGCATTAGTTTCTAGCCTGCCATATCAAATGAGTTTTTAACATGCAAGAAAAACAAAAAGACAAACTTTCACCATTTAAATACTAATTTATTTTTTTGACTACTTTTTCCTCTGGAAGTGTCAGGATGAATTTTACTTGGTCCCGTTGCTGGCTGAGTAGAAGGTTCTGGGTGTCTTATTGTAGTGCTGTGGGCTGGACTGTCTGATGCGAGGCCAGCGTTCATTGCTGCTCGCAGAAGTTGGCTGCTTTGGATTGTTTTACAGATGATTTTTTTTAAAACTATTTTATGTATTTTTATAAGCTAACCCTGCTTATGGTGCAGTAAAAACTCACCTATAAAAAGATGATGAAATCTGCTCTTCTGAGAACATGTTGCCTGGGGAAAAAAAAAAGTAAATTGAGCATAGTTTCTTGAGTCTTTTCGGAAGGATGACTGTAAACCACCTCTTTCCTTGCCTACCAACTCTTGAAGCGTGTTGTGTTCTGTGTGAGTCAGCATCTTGGCCTCTTTTCATAAATCAGAATTGACCGGCCACGATGGTAGGTCCCAAAGGAATCATGACTGCTCCCTGCTTCCCGCGTGGTCAGCACCTTGGTGGGTTCTTCTTTTACAAAGCCAAGAAACACAGGCTTGTTGCTGAACTCTTTCATTTCAGGAAGGCCATCCAGATGGGTTTTTTGGATCCCTGTGTGCATGGCTTTTGGAAGATGCTTCAGCTGGCGGATTTGTGCAACTGCATGAAATAGACAGTTTTGGTTGCTTTATATGATGGAATGAATCAAATTCCCTTTTGATACAGGAAAAAAACCCACGTAGCTGTAAAGCAAAGAGTATGAGAAGTGGCTTTACTTCCAAGAGACTCTGTCCTTAAGAGCAGTGGCTCTGAAAACCCCGTAGTGGTCTGTGGTGAACAATATCAGCGTGAACACCTGCTGTGATCGGGGCAAAAAGCAGTATTTTAGATTCTCCTGGGATGTGTGATTAGGAAGCAGAGGATGGGAGAGGACTTTATGACTTTATGAGTGTTTTTCCTCCCGCTCCGCACGTTAGAACAAGGATATGGTGAAACCAAACGAGAAACGCTGCAGAAATGATCCGAAAGGGATCTGTGCTGTGAAGTGTGAAAGCTGTTGGAGGTTCATAGAAGATTTAGAGGGGCCTCTCCGTGACAGTGAAGGAGAATCTCTGTGGGATGAGGACGACATTTTTCCTGGGGAAGAGGAGCAACTGGGGAGTGAGAAGCGTGAAGGGAAACAGAGAATGTGATGCTGATGTGGGAGGTGAACACGGGAACGATCGATGGGTCGAAGGCAGTGGTGGATTCTCTGTTTCTTGTTGTCTTCTAGGCAGGATGCCTTTCTGCAAGGAAGTTGAATTCGGAGTGAAGTGTGAGTTCCTGAGGGTCACAGGAGAGAGTTCTGGGGCTAAAGTTATTTAGGAGTTGAAGCTCGATGTGAACTGTCTTTGTGTGCCTTAAAAATCTGGCAAATTTAGGGTTCCAACAAGTTGGAGAGAGCGCCTCATTTTCTCCACCAGACTTCTGCCATGTTAAAAAAATCAGTTTATTTTATTGCACGTTTTCTTATCTTCCGAAAATATTTGAAACTGTGTATCGCAGAGCGATCTCACAAAAGCCGAAGTGGCATTTGACTGACGGCCGTGATCTTATTCCATCTCTGGTACTGAGCTTTTTTGATGTTGTAAACTGTTATATCGCCCATGCAGGGGCTGTGTATGGGGTGTGCCCTGCCCGCATTTATCGGAACCAACCGCATTCATCTAAACAGACTGCGGATTTCTAGCACTCCAATTATTTTAATAAGCCACAGTTGTATTTTATGGAAGCTGAAGGTATACTGAAAATTGTTCTGTTCGGTCCGTTTCATTCTACTAGAACAGAATCGTGTCGGTGTAGCGGTTGTATTTTTAGTGTCAGTCCAGTTAACAAATTGCAGCAGTGATATATAAAGTTATACGGGGGCTAAAGAAATGGTATAATCTGAGAGCGTGCTTGACTGGAAAGTGCTCGTCAAGATTGAACCTACTGGATTTTGAAGAAGTGATTAACCTGTAGAGCATGAAGTGAAACTAAAGGCGTAGATGGTGGTTTTGCATCTTAAGCAAGAAAAAGCAAACACTTTGTACTGATGGTAGGATTTTTCCGTTTTAATCGCGATATATTTTTTTTTTCAGTTTATCCTGATTTTTTTTTTAAACTGTTTTTACAGTGACTTTTTTTTCCTTGAAGAAAACAAGTGATACTCACATGAATAGTGTTTCCTACTAGTTCTAACCCAAGGAATGTAACCGTTGCTTAACGGAAATTATACGGACTCAGAAAATAGCGAGTAATATAAAATCACTTCAGTATTTATTGACTAAAAAGTATTTGTAAGCATGATATGGGAGAAGTGCATATAGCAAATCAGTGTATGGAGGTGATGGTATTGTCAGTGAATTCAGCGAAGCTACGTTATGTGCCACATTGAAAGTAAAGATGCATTTTCTTTGTTATAACCTCATACCTGCATTTTATAAGATCTTCTACATTAGGGTGAAAATAGCTTTGTCAGTCACATTTAACTAAAAGCTCTAAAGAATTAGTTTGTTCGTTTTTTTTTTTTTCTCTCAGTGTCTATCTAACCTGAGCCTGAGTGATTCTAAATGTAATACACTATGATACATTTTACACACTTGCAAAAACATTTTATTACAAATTACATCGTTATGGTACGATAGAACACGATATGTAATTTTAAGCAAGACTATATGTTATGTTAGCTTTTCCAGTCTTAAAAAAATGTAAAAAATTAAAAATTTGCAACTTCTTAAGAAAATAGCCTGGACATGTACAGAACACGCCGTGAGAACTTTCACTTTTAGCTCTTATATGTTTCACCAGTGACTTTTCCTCGATCATTTTGCAACGATGCCAGAGTACTGGTCTCCGTATGAGTCGGTAACCGCACGTAAAAACAGTTCGGTTTCGTGTCGCGGTCCCTGCTCGCAAGAACGTTTCGAATAGGTCTGTGGGAAAAGCTACTGATTCGGTGACTAACGATTCCAAACTGGTTGCCATTGAGAGATGCTTGATTTAATTTCTTTAAAAAAACCCAAACACACGCTAGGCCTGTTAGCATGGAGTCCATTAATTATCGACACAATTTAAAAATAGTACTGAATGCTGTGTTATTTTTTTTCTTGTTACATCCGTATTTGATGTTTTGTTCTGTTTAGGAGGAAAAAAAAAGAAATAGATTTTCTTTTTTGGAAATATTTTGGGTTTCTAAAACATGTCACGTGGGCTGTCTTGTAAACAGATTTATATTTTCAATTAAAAACGATAGAAAATACAGGAAATGCACTTTTTCCACATGAAACAATTGCACTTCCTTCCTGGTCCACAGGATCACCTTTTCTAATCCTTCAGCTTTCACAAAAGTATTAGCGGGATATTGTTTGCTTTTGTACAGGGACTTGTAGCCCTCTTGAAGTTTTACTGCAAAGGGGACTTTTTTTTTTTTTTTTCCATTAAAGCCTGCTGAAATTAATTTTGAGCTGGACTTAGAGATCTTCTGCATTTCTGTTCACATTTTAACTTCTTTTTCTTGCTCTTTGCTTTGGGGTAAAAAAAAAAAAAAGTTATTTTCCTCGAGGTTTCTTGCAGCAATGGATTGGATGCTGAGCTAAGAGGAAAAATAATGTAAACGAAAACTCTTCAAATTTGTTAGTGTGTGCAAGCTCTTCTGAAAATGATTACATTTCTTCTACCTAAACACTGAAGAATTTATATTTTACTGATGCTGCAGGATATGCAATTTCAAAACCAATTCCTAGTAAACCAGTTTGTCACATGACACACTGTATGACTCAGACTATCTTAAATCCTTAAAAAAACCCCCCAAAAACAACAAAAACCATAATTCCCACTCCCTGGCCACTTCTAGCATGAGAAAATTTTCCACAAACTGTCATTCTCGATGCAGGTTTAGTGACAGTAACAAATACTTAAAGGAAAAAATCACAGCTTATAATTCAGAGCAAGATGTTAAGTGAAAAAAACAAAACAAAACAAAACACAAAAGCAAACCCCAAAAAACTTTGGAAAAAAAATGATTCACATCTCTTTCCTAAGTGTGTGGTTAGCAAGTACAATTAATAGATTGAGAGATAAATTAGAGTAAGTCGGGAAAGCCATCTGAGAAGCGTAGTAAATAAATAGCACTGATAATTACTGCTCCTTCCAAACAGGTTTCAGAGCGTGATGCATATACTAGAAATTTTCTGGTGCCTTCTGCAATCATGTAGAGGTTTTCCAAAGACGGCGTTACAAAAAGATTCTAAATTACGGCAAACGCCAACGATCCATAGAGCTTTCGATTTTTCTGGTTGTGGGGTTGTTATATTTTATTTTTTCCTGTGCCAGAATGTGTCATTTTGGGTACTAAAAGACTAAAAGTGAGATCTAGGACACCTGATTGTCCTGTAGCCTTGACCCTGCCAGCTTGATGGGGTTAAAGGCTTGTCCTGACTTTGGGAGGTTTTTAGCCGCTCGCCCGTTGGAGATGAGGAGCCGACTCGTTGGTCTGGTGATGAGGACAGAGCTAAATTAGGAGTGATGGTGCGTTGTCGAGATGTGTTAGCTCGGTTGAAGTCTACATCGCATGAAGGCAAATATACACAGAGTCAACATCTTAGAGATTATTCATGGTCTGGGACCACATGAAAAATTGTGCTTCGTCCAGGTTCTGTGTGCTGAAAACTGCACTCCCCGATCAACATGGATTTGAAAAACTGAAGACCACTGCAAACATAAGGCTTGCTTGCTTATTTTTTTTTTTCTCTCCCCTCGTTGTCATTTAAAGACAATAAACCAAACCCCCAAAGGCTTTGAAACAACAGTGATATCTAGCTGTGTACAGGATGACAGCCTACACCTTAACAGGTTAGAACGTGACGCTTTCAGATCTAAAGGGGAGGGGTGGGAAATAGTTTTACTTTCCATCTTTGTACAAATTTCGATTCCGGTTTTACATCCCACATTGGTGAACTGCAAATCAAAGTTGGCAAGGTACTCCCTAACGCCTCGCTTCCGGACGTCGGTTTCTAGGTACAAAGGCCTTTTTGGTACACGCGGTGAGAACTGAACGCCGCCAGAATGGTCACAACTACGTTGGCCGGTAACATGGATCAGTCTACCAAGATCCCATCAGAGACAATTGATAGAACTCCACATTTTTTTTTTTTTTTTCAAAGAAGGCCTTGAACTCCACATGTCATGGACTTGGGTTAAAGGAACCAGAGTTTCCATCTTCCATGCTTTTTTGATTCAGTTTTGGATTTTTGCTTGGGAGTGGAGGAGTAGCTCTCCTGAGAATAAGGCAAAGGTGCAACCTGAGTTTCTTCGATAGGGTGAAGTTTTCTCAAAACTGGCTGTAGTTTATCTTCTTGCTGTTTAAAATCCAATTCCACACTAAAAATGGGAAGAAAAAAAGCACTGAGTTACTAATCTGCGATAATAGAAAGGTTTCAGTTAAGCCAACATCTAGACACCAGTATACAAGTGCTAAATGCATGAAGTCCAAGACAAACGCTTAAGTCAAATCACCCCATTCTTGCGCCGAAAGTGAAAGGGGGATGTGGGTCACAGAAGGACGTACTGCAAAAGAGAAAAAGGAATGAGATTGTGCAAACTTCTCCCTGCTGTTTAGGGGAGCCTTGGGGATTACGGCAGAAGTGCCGTGAGGCGACTGAAAACTCAAAATACTGCTTTTTCCTTCCTCTCCCTGGAGAAATGCTCTCTCAGAGGGTGCCCAGGCTCGGTTCTCCCTCCAGCCTGCACGGTGAGGTGAGGTGAGGACAGCAGCTGGGTGTGAGCATCCTGCTTTAGAGAGAAGCTGGTGGGTTGACCATAAGCAACAAGGCTGGCCTGCCAGTTTTTCTTTACCTTAACTGGTTCTTGGGGAAGTTTCACCATGTTCTAGACGAATTTCACCTCGTGCCTAGCTCAACAGTTAAACCCAGTCTGAGCAAAAGTGTCGGCATTTCAGTGATTTGCAGGGATTTATGTAAACTTTCACATAGAGGTCCAGAGAAATACATTAGGTAAGAGTTCAAATATAGACAATATTCTTCCCACCTCCCTTTTGTTAAGCAGTTAAAAGACATTGCGAATCAAAGGAGATAATTTTAAAACATTTCAGCGATACGCCACGACTGTACCTGAATTTGTAGGAGGCAGCTGTGAATACTGAATTTGTAGGAGGCAGCCGTGTTGGGCATCCTGTTCGTGCAGAAGCACACTGCAAGCCTACTGATTAATCTAATATCCCTCCTTGGTAATGAAAGAACAATGCCCGCTTCAACTTGATAACGTGTTCCTGTTTGCAGTTTAGCTAGCGAAAAGCAGTTGGTTATATAAATTAATTACGTGATAAGACTGGGTTATTGGTTGACTGTGAATGCCACACCACAGAAATGCTTTTAGGGACACATCTTGGCGTGAAATAGATTCTTCTCCAAGAGCTCTCTAAATTCCATTTCAAGTGGCGTGGAAATCTGTGCAGAATTTGGTGTATATAATATTAGGTTTTTCCCTCAGTCTAAATTTTTTTTTTTTTGGAAAAAAAAAGCTCTTTCAGCTCTGGCATTGACAGAGGTCATTTTTGCTTCTTAAAAGTGTTATTCTTGCAGGGGAGCTCTATTAAGAGCTACTTGATATAAATCACTTTTTGAAGAAGCTTGCTGAATGGAGTAACTTTGTTCACAATCAATTTCTATTAAAGATAGAGCTCAAGAGGAAAAACATCGTGGTTCTAGTCCATGTGACAAAACCCACGTTGTTACCGTTTCCTGGCGCACAACGCCACGTGCAGCACAGTTCTGACTGGTTTTCAGCTGTTTACATCAAAATGAAATGGTTTGCTTCTGAAGAAGGGAGGATGAATGAGAACGCTCCTGTTATTTCAGCATTTATATCAGTAAATTCTGCAGAGTTATTGAGTGCTGTCCATCAAGGTGAATTTATCTAGCTCTGTAGGCTTTTTAATGTAGCCACTTCTTTCAGGCAAACCATTTGTTTGCTCGGAAGCCGAAGCTTTAGTGTGCACTTGCTTGTGCTGCAGTAATAAGATGAGCTTTCTTATTCTATATTTTTTCCTGTATATTTGTAAATTAGCAAGAGCTGACTTAATTTCTGGTCTTTACATTAAAAGCGTGAATTACTATTGATCTCAGCAAGTGTTACGTATTTGGATGATGCCTTATATATTTTGGTTACTGAGCTGAGGATCTTTCCAATTCTTGTGTTTGTGAACTTGATTTCGTCACCTGTCACAGCTCTGACAATTTTGTTTTGCTTCGTGCTATTTTTGGATCCGAAGTATCTATAGGCTTCCCTTCAAAATGACCTTTTCCTGAAATATCCTCTGTGCCACATGGCTCCTCCTCACTTCCAAACTTCATCTGGTTTTGTCTCTCCTTTAACCCTCCCCATGATAACTCCATGAACTTCATGAGTGAGGACTCTGTTCCTCCAGCATTATGTATGATGGAGATGATAATTCTTGGCTTAGAAGTGTTTTTCCTTAGATAAAATAATTCTATTTTTCAAGAGACTGACAATTGTGAATATATATATAAAACAAGAGAGGAATCGAGATATTATGTGATGCTGTTATCACAAACACATCCAACGAGGACATACTAAAGGTTCACTTACCTACAATATTGCCAGATTTGGAACACTGAGTTGCTGGAGGTTCCCTACATTCATTGCTTATCTCAAATTTTTCCTGTGCGTGAAACTCTAGTGCAAATAGTCAGGTTGTTTTGGTGAATAAATATAAGCAGTAAAATTTCATCCGTGACAAATATTCCAGTTTTCTGTGGTTTTTTCCCCAAAGCAACTATATGCTTTCAAGGTTTACAACAGAAACTTTACTTTTTAGGGCAGCTGCCTGCATATTGGTGTTTGCATAGATGTCGTTCCCATGAAAATTTGGCCAAATAAAAATCAAACAGCAGACCTTTGAGAATTTTATTTTGATGTGCTCCTTGAACACAGGCGAGCGCTTTGTAATTAAAATCTCCTTCACAGTGAGACGGGTCTAGTCCAGGAGTGATCAAAAATCTCTTTGCAATTGCAGCTCTAAGTTAGTTTAGTTTGTGCTTGACTGAGCCCCAGAGCGGAGGCCCCTGAGCCTGCGGTTTCTGTCATCTTGTGTTCTGCTAAGGACTGATACCACTGCAAAGTGAACTCAAAATGAGAATATTGTATGTTTGGAATTTTTTTGCCTTCCTTTCCTTTCCCATTTCCCAGGTCCTCATGTTCTTTATTGCACAGCATGGATGTGCCCTAAACTGACTGAGGAGCCTGAAACGTGAATCACGATCTAATTTTGTCGCCAGGAAGAACCGCTGATGCGTTGTGGAAATTTGGTTTATGGCGAAGGAGGGAAAACGCTGCAAAAACACAGAGCCCAACAGCAGGGCAGTTGAAAGTTGCCTTGAAAACTATTCTTATACATGACTGTTAATTTTGAGATTGAAGTCAGCGGGAACCTCTGCGGGGTTTCTCTGTTTTGCTTTGGGGCTTTGTCTCCCCCAGCCTTTGCTTTTTGTTACCGCGTTCCGAAAACAATGACTCACGTGCTGGAATAACAAGCAGCTGAAGTCAAACGTGGAACAAAACTTATTTTCTGTGCAGAATTTGAATCGTATTCAGGGAAGAAAGAGAAACAAAATCTCTGGCATAGTGTGGTGAAGGACGTGGTGCCTGAAACCCCCGGAGCGAGGCGCTTGCAGTGCTGGAGCCCTGACGATTGTGAGGCTTCTTTGGCCTCCAGCCCTTCTTGGAGGTCTTGAGAACATCTCGGAGGTGGCCCAGCATCCCTCCAGGTGCTATATAGAATCATAGAATCCTAGACTGGCCTAGGCTGGAAGGGACCTTAGAGATCATCTAGTCCAACCTCCCTGTCATGGGCAGGGACACCTCTCAACTAGATCAGGCTACTCAAGGCTCCGTCCAACTTGGTCTTGAACACCTCCAGGGAGGGGGCGGCCACAACATCTCTGGGCAATTTATTCCAAAGTCTTGCCGCCCCCGTACTGAAGAACTTCTTCCTAAGATCCAGTCTAAATCTATTCTCCTTCAACTTAAACCCATTTCCCCTTGTCCTATCAGTGAATACTCTTGTAAAAAGTCCCTCCCCAGCCTTCCTGTAGGTTCCCTTCAGGTATTGGAAGGCAACTATTAGGTCCCCCCGAAGTCTTCTCTTTTCAAGACTGAACAACCCCAGCTCCCGCAGCCTGTCCTCGTAGCAGAGCTGCTCCAGCCCCTGGATCATCCTTGTGGCCTCCTCTGAACACGCTCCAACAGATCCACGTCCCTCTTATGGTGGGGACATCAAAACTGGACACAGTATTTGAGGTGGGGTCTCACAAGAGCAGAGTAAAGGGGGAGAATCACCTCTCTTGACCTGCTGACCACGCTTCTCTTGATAACGCACGTGTGTGAGATCTGGGGCTTTCAGTAGGGTATCTGTGGTTAACGGTGGCGTAGAGCCGAGGTGGCCAACGGGGACACCTCGCCGGGGGCGTGCGTGCAAGGCAGCTGACTTGCTCAGGCTGCTTCTTTCTGGCTAATCCTGTCTTCTAAATCCTCGCGCTGGGGATTAGGGATTGATGTGGATTTTCTGATTTTGGCTTCATGGGTTTGTTGTTTTTTTTTTAGTAACTTTGAGAATATATGTTAATGAGGCTTTTTTTACATGCAGCCAGCAGAGTGAGCTTTTTCTAATTTTGTTGCTGTATAAGGGATTGAAAACAGAGTTTGAGGAGTCATAACCATTAGGTTTTAAGCATATGGGCTGTGGGAGGGCATCTAACAAGCTTAGAAGTACGGATGGGTTTTCTTCTGACACAGTCATGTTACTAACACAAATCATTTAAAGACAAATGCTAATTATCAGATACGTTCGTTATGTATAAGATCATCAAATTGGAATAAATGAGGTTCAGGACCGGCTTGCTGAGAGCTTTATCCACTTGTCTCTTGAAACCTCCCAAGGCTGGACCCTGCCCAGGCTCTGGGCAGCCTGTTCTTCTGCTTTGTGTCTCAAGGGAACACCTTTCTCCTGCTGGATCTGAGCCTTTTCTATTTACCTTCTCATTCCCTCGTTTGGAATGTTAAGGCCCAGATCCTTCAAGCGTTTGTAGAGCGGCTTAACTCTTTACATTTAAGTAGTCTAGGTGAAGCAGGAATTAGAGACTATCATAGTGTCTTCTGCTGGGTCACGTTAATGGCATTAGCGCCTGCCACGTCTTGGACGAACGGCATCCAGATAAGCACTAATCACTCGGAAATGAGCTTAATACACATTGAAGCAATCTCTGTTAAATTTCCCATTTCAACCTGAAAATCACAGACGCTCAGGATCCAAAGCATTATCAGCATTAGCAAGCCATTAAGATCTATTTTTCACTACTAAGCATCTTAGAGTCTAGAGATGAGAATATAAATTAATTAGTGTGGGTAGGAAACAAAAAGATGATGAAAATTACTGTTCTCAGCAGTTACTTACCTGATTTTTGCTATACTGATGCTATCTTAGGGATGTGTGTCTACTCCTCTTATTTTCTCTTTGTATCGCCGTGTTTATTGACTAATAATTATCACTGTGTCTCACCTTCACGAGTGAACTGCTTCCCTGTGGGCTCTGTGCTACCTGGTTACCTTGTATCGCCGGAATGTCATTTACCACTTGGAGTGAGAGTTACATTTCATAGATTCCATTAATGTATTTTTACCATTGAATAGGTGGATTGAGCCTTAGAATAACCTCAGCATCAGAGGCAAAATTGAATGCTGAAAACCAGCATATTTCATAAATTCAAAGGAGTAAAAAAATAGCCAAATTAATGGTTGATACAGCTTTGAGTAGTTTTTGCCCTCAAGATCTGCAAAACTGCACTATCGATTTGTTTGCTCCCCCTCTGCAGAAATGGGCTAGTGATTTGATTTAGTAAAAAGTTTACTTCCAGAAGCTAAAGTAGCCTTGTAAAAGCTATTGAGTACTTGTGACCTCTGTGACTAGAGGGAACTGTAGCATGAATTCTTCAAGATGCTCCTTCATGGTAAGAATTCACGATAAAGGCCAAAGAATGAAGCACAAAATATTAGACAGAAGACTCATTTTCTCATATAGATTCCTGTTCAAGGATTGAAATTCACATGGGATGATAATTTAAACAGGAGCGGAAAGGGCAGTTCTGCTAAGAGATAATTACAGAATAAAACAGGCTGTGAAGATTTTAAGTCCACGTGGGCTTTGGGTGTTTTAGAACTGGTACAGATTTTGCATATCAATGCAATTTCTTCTTAACAGCAAGATTTTACTAGACTTCAGTATTTAGGTTGACTTTGTCCAGACAATATACCCTAATAAAACTTATTTTCTTTCTTAAAAAAATTAAAAATTAGAAGGTGAATCTAGGTGAGTTTGCGGAAGGCAGGTGTAAAAGTGTGTCTTCTCTTTGTAAATTTTTCTTTCAGTTTATAGAAGATGATCATGAAACTGTTTTGTGACCTTGGATTATGAGATATCGATACTAATGGGATAGATTAATGTTTGTTAAACTTATTTTTACTACTTAATCACATTTTTTGACTATTGTCTTAAATACTGTCCAGAAATGGCTTTAAAGACACAACACTGAACACTTTTTACTGACTGTTTTAGACTCTTGCTATAGAGTTGGGACTTTCTTCTCAGGCTTTAGCAGAAGTAGAATTTTGAAGGAAATGGGGAATCAAATTTATATGTGTAGGTTGGTTTGTTTGTTTTCCCCTCCTATTCCTATTGATTTTATTTCATTTTAGGGTTTTGGTATTTTGTCTTTTTAATAGTGTTTCATGTTGGATCAGTTTCCTATTTACTAAAAAAACCCAAACAACGAAGTGACCTGGCTTCCTTTTTCCTTTTATTACTCTGTTCTTTTCAACATAGTCAAAGTAATATAAAAAAAAGATACGGACTCTTAGCAAAAAACATAGATTTCACATGAAAAAAAAATGCATTGTCAAAAACTTAGAGTGTTTACTAACAGCACTGACATTTTTGATACTAAAACCCCCTTAAAGTACAACAGTGCTTTCGTGTTGCCCTCTACACTATCTCTAGCTTTTGTTCTGCATTGTATTAATATTCTAAAAAGTCATCTTAAGGGGAAAAAATTTAATTACATTGATTGTCTCTGCATTCTAGCATCTCGTCTGGGTTATATCTGACCTTAAGAGGATGCGGTTGGGTAATCAGTCCTCTAAGATGCAGTTTAAAAAGATTTGAAAGAGCTCTGAACGTTACTGTGTTCAAAATTTAAAATCAAAAAAGGCAAGCCAATTATGGGAAAGCTAAGATTTTTCTCTTGAATTTATTGATTTGTCCCATAAGGTTATTTTTTTCTGAAGTCTCTGCTATTTACTGCTTGGGTGAAAGAGCTCAAGACTGAGGAGGGGCCAAACTGGGAGCCTGGTGGATGATCCTCCTGGTCTAATACCTGACGTCTACTTACAGCTTGGAGAGTCTGGTGCCCTCATGCACCAGAAGGTGCTCAGTGCATCTTCAGCAGTTTAATCTGAGTTTTAATTTCTGTTTCTAAAAGATGCTTTGTCTTAAAGAAAAAAAAAACAAACCCACAACGTAGCAGCACTTGTCATGCAAACCCTTTGTGAAAGCGCGGATCATGGCATCTGGATTTAAGAGCAGCTTTAGCATCCTCGCTAATGAAATGCTGCTCTGGTTTCAGTGCTGCAGTATTTGACTTGTGGAGGAGCAGAAGCTCGTACAAGGCAGTCTGTCTTAGCGGTGGTTTTATCAGTGAAGTTCTCTTTTTATCTCTTCTGGCTACTTATCTTGTCTTAGTCATTCAGCCTTCTCGTAGTTCCCCTGTTTTGCGCTGTCTCCTCGTTTTATATTTCTTGCCTGCAGCATATATTCTCCTAATCTGTCAAAAAAGCAGAGCTGATTTCTGCTAAAACCTCCCCTGGAAACGCTGCTTTAGGCGAAAGCCCAGCATCAGCAGCCTCAGTCCAAACGGCCAGTCTGATGGGAGACCTGGCAGCTAGACCTGCCTGCTGCACTGGTGCTTTGTTGGTAGGGAAACACTTAACATCTGTGTTCCTGGACTCAATTTGAAGTGAGCGTAGAGACTGAAAGGCTCCTTTACTTTCAAGGCTAGAAATCAAGGTTTTTTAAAAAAATTCCAATTGGATTTTATTTTTTTTGCTAATGAAACAACAAAAAAAAAACAGTTTCCCTGATGGAAACAGGCTATGCAGCACCTTCCCAGGCTGCTCTGAGCAAGAAATTGCACAGGGACTGAGCTCGGAAAAAGGGAGGGTTTGGGCATTTAAATGCTTCTAAACATTGCTTTAGAGGACAAAAAAATGAGTAGATTTGTTCCTTCCCTTGCATAGAACAGCATCATTTTCTTTTCTAGATAGCTGCTAAAGAGTAAAGATGGAGTTGAAGTTTTCCATCCTTCTTTCCTCTGCTTCGAGGCAGCGAGGAGACAAGCTATAAATAGCTCCCGGTCTGCCTAAATTGGAGACTAACTGGAGAACTAAGGGGCAAGGGGGGAAATCCTGCATTTTTCAGACCCAGCCACCATTTGCACTTTCGTTTCAGTGTGTATCTTTGCTGTGACTGTCATCTTGGCACGTTTTCATCTCTACTATATCACCTGATTTCCTGAAACACGCAAATACCGAGATGCGTTTGTTTTCAGTCTTACCTGCAACGCGTGAAAATCCTCTGCTGGTTGTTCCAAGACTGACAAGTTAAGTTGTCAGTATGAAAAACATCACCACCCTCACGACAGCTTCATGTCATGCCCAGTGCCCATCTGCTCTGCCTGCACTCTAACACCGTACGTGCCGAAACGGGTTTCTTGGAGGAGATATTAGGGGGGGAACCTGCTTTTTAGAAAGAAGCAGGATCCTTTCACCTTTTGCATCCAGTGAGCAAACTCCAGGTATTTCCTTCTGGAGGAGAGGTTGTAGTAGGTACAAATACTCGAACAAAGCCCTTCGGCAGTTGGTCATTTCTGATTTGTTTGACAGTAACAAGCAAACCTGTATTCCCCTCACAGAACCGCACCCCTTCACAGCAGGGCTTTTCCCTCAAAATTACTTCCCAAGTCCAGTTGTTACTGCTATAAAAATAAGATGTGAAATATGTTGACTTGTTGGATAGAGAATGCTAAATATCTCCCGCAATGTGAAAATGAACCTCACGCCTTCTAGTACTTCCTCATCCAAGAGCTGCAACACTCGTACTGTCCATAATCATCTATTTTTGGTCTGAAAATTCAGACTCGGAAACAAGCGTCTGTTGAATTTTCTTGAATTTGTGACCTTTTTTTCCTGGTTTTGAACTGGTTTTGTGTTCTTGAAAACTCAAGGCTAACAAGTGATCTTGCATCCATGAAGAAATTACTAGTTTCTCTCAAGAAAAAGTGGGAATATTAGTATTTTTAACCTACCTATAGATAATACATGCACTGTTCCTGCATGTGTCGCAGTTAGCCGTGTCTTGACCAGTTCTATATGAAAGCCTACAAAGACAAGAACACAAGGTCATTAAAAAGTAATTAATTATAACATGTTTTTTTACCTTTCATGATTCTTTTTGTAGAAATCAGAACTTCAGGGTTGGGATATGTTTTTTTTTTCCTTTTTTTTTTAACAACGAACCACCACCACCACCAAACCACACTTAAATATTGAATACAAAAATCTGGCCATCAGGAAAACAGGATTAAAAATAGCACATTCATCTTCACTGAACAATGGCAAGATGAAGTTATTGTGGAAAACGAGTCTTTAATGACTGCAAGGAGAAAATAAAAGATTGATTTCCGTTATACTTTTGTAAATTAAAAGGGAAAGCAACAATGAAGCCAAGTGACATGAACCTTTTTTGACATAAAGCTGCCATGTACCGAAGTGATGAACTATCACTGGAAATGGACACACTCGCAGTTTCCACAGGCGTGACGGCGCTGGTTCCTTTGTCAAAAACCATGAGGCTTTTCCTAGTTCTTGCTGGATGTAGGGAATGTAATACTGAAAAATGGAGTCTATTTAGAAATGGTGCCTCGGCAATGAGGTATGAAGATCTGCTATAGTATCTTAAAAGTAAGAAAATGATTTTTAAATAATATTTCCTGGGCTCACCTAGCCTACAGCCATCTGTCGTCACTCTCTGGTTTGAAGTCTGTTACAGCAGTGTCTCTTAATTTACCCGTGTATTGTCTCTGGCTTGGTCAAATGAATTAGGGTTTTTTAAGCTAAACAAGTACTTTTTTGCACATTGAAACTTCATTAAGTAAATATATTAAAAAGGACACACTTGCATACCTATCACAATGGATGTTCTTGTGTGCCAACAAATTTAAAATGAAAATCCCTTGGTCAGTATTTCGATATTAGTACTTACTGCCTTTTTTTTGTAAAATCACAAACTTGGAATCTTTTAAAATAACTTTGTGTTAAATACAGACTAGTATTTGCAGAATTTCTGCATAGTTGGTTTTAAAAGAAATGGGGAAATAGCTCCTCTGCACAACTTGGAAGGCAGGAATAGAAGATCCGGTCAGGATTACTTAAGGGAAGGTTTCTGAAGTCAGGCGCTACTTGGGACCTTCCTTACCCAATTGTTTGACCTCAAATAATTCAGCATTGGCTTGGCTTAAGGGGAGCACCTCTGCCCCGTCCTTTGCTGCCCCAGCCACGGGGACAGAGCAGCTTCATCTCCACTTCCCTGACAAGGTAAGAGTATTGATAAATCCGACACTTGCAAAAAAAGTTGACTTAATTTTTATGTGACTAAATAGCAAACCTATGTAATATCAAGTACTAAAGGGAAATGATACACAAACCGTTTAATGTGCCTGTCCCTAAGATGGAAAATCAGTGTTTCCTAAACGCTGCAGGCTACTTATTTATCTTAGTGAACATATGGTTTTTCTTGGAAAATGCTTATCTGGTCCTCTGTCACTTACTATTTTGAAGGTTTCAAAACCGGTTTCAAAGTTTATTACATCACTTACATATTGGAACAGTTGAAATTTGAGATCAAGTTCTAAGTTAGTGGCCTCAAAAATACTTTTTGTCCAGAGGAACATCCTCAAATTGCCTGGATTGCTAAATTTTACCACAACAGCAAAGCCAGATGAGCAGAAGAACGGAATTTCTGTAGTATGTGCTATTCCTTGTGAGATAAAACCCCACAGTACTGGCTTACATTTGACTATACTTGAGTTTTATGCTAAGAGCAAAGCAATACGTGGTTTTCAATTTCCCTTTTAAAATCTTTCCAAAGTTGACATTCGGATTGTCATCACACCACTGAACTTGGACTTGCGAAATGTTTTTTTTCCAAGCCTATTGATCAAATACTAAAAACTCTTACTGAAAACACAACATGTAAAGTTTACAGATCAGCTCATGAAAGCCTTTACTTACTGAGGACATAAAGGGCAGTTAAATAATAATAAATAAATAATAAGTTAATAATCGCCTTCAGAGGAACACAGCACCGTTGTCGGAGTGCCTCTTTAGAGGTAAAGGCATAAACACGCTGCGCTGGGTGCCAGGTTGGTTTTTGTTCTCATTAGTTTCCAGTCGAGACATTTCCATTCATCTTTGTACTCCTGCAAACTACCGTTCAAATACGCAGTTAATTATCTGACACGTAGATGAACAACCTCCTCCTCGCTGCCAGTCTCTCTTGTTTCTGCACAGTGCTCCAGGGGTTGTGCTGCTCGTGTTTGGCCTGCCTCTCTGCTCTGCTGCTCAAGAAATAATTTAATAATAGGTCTGGTTGTTTTTTTTTTTAAATAGGCTTTTCCAAAGTCCAGTATTTACAAAAGCAAACTGCAGCCTACAAATGACTTATCCTGCTAACATATGTCTCCATTCTCCTGGATCACTGAGAGATGAGCCCTGTGACAAAGAGTGGCAGTGACATCTTATTTGTAAAGTTGTGTAGGAAAATGGGTGGTTGTATTTTAGGGACGTGCCTGGATGTCCCTGCCCATGACAGGGAGGTTGGATTAGATGATCTCTAAGGTCCCTTCCAACTTAGGCCATTCTATGATTTGCTCTAAAAGAGCGAGGTTTCTGGTGGCAGTTGGAAAAGCAAGGTGGCCAGGTCACCTGCTCACAGTGGATCTTGACAAGTCTTTATTTTTAGTTTTTCCCCCTCAGCGGGGTGTTGGAGAACCATGACTTGCACTGTGCGGCTGGGAAAAGGTGTGAATGCTTGGTTTGAAAGAGAAGGGAGGATGAGGAGTGTTCCTGTGTGTGCTGAAAACCTGAGGTGAAGAAGAGGGATAAATCAGAGCCCCCCAGGTCAGGTCGGTGCTGGTGGTGCATCCCAGCCACAGCCCACGTAGAAACACTTCAGCAAGAAGTCACGTGGGACTAAAGACCCTAATAAACACATTGCAGCATAAAAACTCCTGCGGATCTGCATGCTCTTTGCTCACACCCGTAACCCTGGCCGTTATCTTAGTTACTCCGATGGTTTACCAACAACCAGTTTCCACCAGCACCGCACCCATCTTAAACCAGTAATGTTTGAGTTGTGACAAACTTGGTGGACGGTGGTAGGCTGGTCGCTTGTTTAGCAAAGGCCATGCTGTAGTTGGTTTTCAAGTGGATGGGCCAGTTCAGTCATGAACCACTGGTAGTGGTCCTGGTACCTTACTGAAAATAAAGTGTCATATACACTTTAGATTAATAAATTGTCTTTCTCAAAATTGAATTTTCAGTATTTCATTTAAACGAGTTTCTAAAGTGTGAGATGATCTTTAAATGCCCAATAATTCCAGACTTTCAAATACTTTAAAAATGTATTTCCTAGTTGATGGTATAAGGCAGACTCATTAAAGTCATAAAAGTGGTCCTTTGATACAGGTTTTTAAAGAATATATGATTTTATCAGTTTGAAATCCTGGTTTCTCAATTGACATGTTGAGCGTTGCTTGCTTTTAGGATCTTTATAATTCACAAAATGTCCTGTTGACAGCGATACGTTTTTTTTCTAGTTGGACGTAAATTATCATGAACTTTAAGCCATCATTTTCCATATTGAGTATGTTCAGCCTTTCAGACGTGATTTTCCTTTCAAACTACAGATTTAGTGATGTTGCATTGTCTGAAGCAACCTAGTATTTAATTTCTTTGTAAGCCCCAAGAAGACTACGTGGTGTCACAGTGTTTGCTTTCCATAAGGCACTTTGATAGCTCTTTAGCCAGGACTCTGTTGTGTGAGCATTAGAACAAATTCAGTTATTTCTGTATGGATTAAACTCGTCATGAAAGAATTCTGTTGTTGACACCCCAGGGCTTTGGACTTTCACTTTCTTGTTTTCACATAATTATCTACATAAACATTTGCGTGGAATTCATCTACTTCATGCCAGCAAAGATTCTACTCTTGCTGTTGCGGTGAGGCTGCTTTGCAGGGCAGACTTACTGGAAAATTGAGTTTCCCATCAGTGCTAACTGCTGGAAGCACTTTGTGAGCACAGTGTTGATATCAGGTCCAGGAGAGCAGAGTTCTCGGTGAACATGCTCTCCTTCTGGGACTGAGTATTTTGAATAAGCTACTTTTTTCCTCCCTTTTAAATTATTTTAAGGGTATTCCAGTGTAGGAGAGCTCAGGCTAGAGACCGGTAACCTTTCTTCTTGATTGGTAAACTAGTCGGTGTTTCTCTCTAAGAGTCCTGTAAAATGTGAAACTTTTCACAAAGCAAAGATTCTTATGAAAAATTTGTTTTCTTTTTATCGAAACAGAAGTTGGGTTTCGTTTGTTTTCAATCCCAAGTGGAGTGTTTCTGTTTGTACCGAGTGAGATGCTTGGGAGCCAGGAGTTCCCCTCAAGCTATGACTCCGGTGGGCAATGTTCCTCTCGTAAAAATCATCTCAGCATTGAGCCTTGCATCTCGTTTTACCAGTTTTAAGGTCTTGATTTTGGGAATGACTCATCAGTTTAAGAAATATTCCACTTTTCAGTTTGCTTCAGTCTCTGTTTTTTTCATCTGTTCTTCAAGAAGGTCAAACTCGATCACCACGAGGTTGTGCTGACCCAGCTGCTCTGTGGTACTGCTGCTCTGGGGCGTGGATGAGCCTGTAGCACCTCATAAACTCATGGAATGGGTTGGGTTGGAAGGGACTTCAAGACCATCTTGTTCCACTCCCCCTGCCATGGGCAGGGGCACCTCCCACCAGACCAGGTTGCCCCATCCAACCTGGCCTTGGGCACTTCCAGAAAGTGTTCCATCACTCTTGGGAAGACGAAAATCCATCAGTCTTAAAGTCAAATGGAGATCTAGTTACGAGTTTGGTACTGAGGTGTGACCAAATGGTGTGAGTATTGAACGAAAGTGGTCGATTTTGTCCTCCTGGTTGTCCTCCCTGTCTCCTGGCCTCATCCTGGCTCTCCTCATGCGATGTGGTCCCTTGGGTGCTCCTGTGGGCTCTTTGACGTAGAGTTTTGCGAGTTTGTGCTGCAGTGTGAACTGCTCACTTCAGGTCTCCTAAAACA